TCATAGCACATTCCCACCATCCCAAGGATCAGTTCGACAAAAATTCGTTGCACTCTTCCATTAGAAAATTATTAAAGAATTGACCCAGAAACTGTCAAAGTTAATATGTTTTAAGTGATCGTTATGTGCATGATTATTGTTCAGTTGTTATTGAGATTAAGCCAATATGTGTGAACATTGTGTGCGATGTGACTCTGTGATATTGAATTCTGTCACTAGGTAGCTTGACAATCTTCTTCCCTCTGCCCTGGTCATGTACTGTCAGCATTATTTCCAGAATTTCCTCCTCCACAGCAATTGCCACAGAGTTGGCTGGAGGAGCACCTCTGATTCTCTGCCTCTCCAATGATACTTGGTATCTACAATTGAATGCAATGGTATGCGCTTAATGGATGGGCAGCATTTGTTGAGTGTGACTGAGAGAGAGAATGTGTAAGGACAAGGGGTGTGTCAGGACGTACAGACTGTGATGGGTGTGAGGAATTCCACAGAGAAAAAGGGATGGATGTGCTCACAAGGTGTGGACAGTGATGTGTCCGAGCAGGTGAAGAGAGAGGTTTGGGGTGATACATACATTGGCATGTGGTCAAATGTGCCACTGGCCTCTCCTTTACTGCTTTGCCAAGGTTACTAAACCTCTTTCGCCATTGAATTCATGAATGCGACATCATGACCCTGCTTTTAGACTAATGGATGAGCTCCGGCCATGCCTTCTTGGCTTCTATAGGCAGGCCTGCTTACTTGTCTCAGTGAGGAGTAGTATATGCCTGCAGGCCCTCACAGTTGCCAGCATTGCAGTGAGCCAGTCCGATGCCTGACTCCAAACTCAGTCAAAACTGCGCATTGAGCATTCCTGTAAAAAGTAATTGCCTCCCATGGGTCACCACTGCATCCACGAACACTAACCAGGAAACCTGACATGATCTGGTAGTAAAGTGGATGTGTAAAGAAACCACTGTCTAACACATTGTCTAGCTGGTCATTTTAACACAGCCACCCTGCTCACATGCCCACTTGTCTGTCCTCGGCATGCTGCAATGCTCCAGCGAATCACAGCACAAACTGCTTATCTTCAGGCTATGCACTTTACAACCCTCTGGACTTAATATTGAGGTCAACACCTTCAGATTGTGAACCCACTCCTATTCCTTCCCTTTCTTTTAGCTTTACATGTTACATTCTCTGTCACCATGTCCTCTCTCCCCTCTCCCCACTCCAGTGGAATTATCTGTTCTTTCCAGTTCAGCAGTTAGACACACCATTGTTCTGCTGCTCTCACATTCCGATCACTTAATTTGCACTTTCAGCAGCCTCTCTCCCCTAGCACTCTACGCTCCCCCACCCCAACTATTGCATAAATGTTGCCCTCTCCACACTTCACATCAGCTTTGATGAAGAGTCATCTAGACTTTAAACATTAGTTTGCTCTCTCTCCATGGATGCTGCCTGATCCACTGGGATTTCCAGCATTTTTTGTTTTCAATCTAACACACTTTACTGACTTTTAGAACTTCCATGTTGCTAACAGGCACTGCCACTCCCAGTGGGTTCCGAATGTTATATAATTCTATGAATTCTACATAAACCTCAGCTTACGGGATAACACATAGAATACTTTCATAGAATAATTACTTTTGGTGCGCAGTGATTGTTGGGTTGGCAAATATGGGCGATGAGTTGTCGTAGTAAAAAGATGCATAAGGAATGGGTCTGTTTGCTTGGCGGATTACTGAAGAGTAGAACGTTTACAAGGAGACAATCCCCTCCTTCAGTTAATGTCACAGAACAGAAACAAAGGACAGGGAAACCTCTGCTCAACTTTAAAAATACCTGAAAATCACTTGGGGTCTTGGGAGATTTAATAATGTGCCTTCACAATCAAGGTAAATATAGCATTCTGCGTGGAATCAAAGGGTAACAATAAAGCAAAGGAAACCAGGTTAAAATGTGACAAAGGCAATCTCCAGTCAGGTGTTTTTGCATAGGAGGCTAGAAATATCTCTGGATGAATGTCACCTTAGATCACATAATGATGTAAATTCAGTTAGTTCAGCTAGTTAGATGGCTAACATACAGTGCAGAATGATGCTATCAGTGTGGGTTTACTAGTTGGTTAATTTTAAATCTGAGATAGATAAATTTTTGTTAAGTAAAGGTATTAAGGGATATGGACCAAAGGCAGGTATGATATAGTTAGACCACAATCAGCCACAATCTCATTAAATGGTCAGCAGGCTCGAGGGGCTGAATGGCTTACTCCTGATCCTACATTCCCCATACTGACTGTGGTAGTTCATGAAGGCTTCACACTGGATGTGAATTGCTGTCCGTCAAGCTACATAACTGATTGCTCTTTTTATTGGAGAGAGGTGCCTATGGCGCATCGTGGGCTATAGCTAATTATCAATTACTAGCAAGCACTCACTCACCATTCTCATCAACAGCACATTTTATCCCAAAGAGTGATTTACTCAAGAAATCGAACTTCAGCGAGTAGAATCTAAGCAACTGCAATCCTTTATCAAACTGTTGATGCTGAGATTGAGCATCATGGGCAACAAAAATAGAAATTGCTGTAAAAGCTCAGCAGGTCTGGCAGCGTCTGTGGATAGATATCAGTTAATATTTCGGGTTTGGTGACTGGATTCTGAGGAAGGGTCACTGGACCCTAAATGTTAACTCTGATATCTCTTCACAGATGCTGCCAGACCTGCTGAGCTTTTCCAGCAATTTCTGTTTTTGTTTCTGAGTTACAGCATCCACAGTTCATTTGCTTTTTATTGAGCATTAGGGCAGTGTATTATACTAGGAAGCAGCAACCAGCTTTCCACGACCATCTGGTCATATGACCAACATCAACAAATCAGTCCTTCGTGTAGTGGAACCAGAATTCGGGGGAAAGATTTACCATCTGGTTAATTATAGGATGGTAGAATTAACCATTAAGAGAGATATAGAGAGAGAGAGCAAGAGGAAGAAAGAGGATGATGATGTTAGACAACTTGAAATTGAAAATGGGAGGTCCCTGAAGAGGAAAGACTAGAACTGAGAGACATGGAGGACAGCACTTAGGCAGATCGATACTACTATTCCACTAGCACTCGTCAGTGCAAAAATTACTGTTCAATAGACTATCATCACTTACATTATAACGGATTAAGATACACATTTTTATAAAGTTTGTTAAAGACAGTCATAATTACTGAGTTCTAGCTATTTAAGAAAGCACAAGTACATAGGATTCAGCTTTTGTTCATTTGTAAATTTGATAGGAATGGAAGAGATATCACTGAAGATATTCTGGAGACTTTCTTTTGAATAATATAATTCCTCCAGCAGGGTATACTCGACAGTCTGAACTACATTTTGCTGACCCTCCATCTGTCTCATCAGAAGGGCTTTGTATTCAGTAAGGTAAGAGACAAATCACATGCAACATTGGAATTTCTGCCAGCATTATGCTTTTTTTTAAATCAATGCAAGGTACTCCAGACAAGAACTAAAGAGCTATCAATATCACAACAATTGCTAGAAAGATCAGAAACACAAAAATTACACTATCACTAGACTTACAAGCTTCACTACAATTACTTACTTCATTAAACCTACCAGCATCAGTAGGAGCACCAGTATCATCACCTTACTGGCATAATTGGATTCACTAGTAGCACTAAACTTACCCGTGTTTCTAGAATTATTAGTTTGACTAAACTTACTAGCATTACCATAGACTTGTTAAGTTGTGCTATGTCTATAATTCCTAGAGTCACTAGAATCACCTGAAACACTAGAATCATTGGCATTGCTGAAAAAAAGAAACATTTTGCTGAAGTCTTTTATCTTGCACTTGTCAGGACGACTCATAAGAATTACCAAAGCAAAGGGAAAACAACATTTATACCGTATGAGACAAGACTGCTGATTGGATGACGAGTGGACTAATTGGTAGATGAGTTGTCATTGATGATGTACCAGTCAATGGTGACTGACAGTTAGCTGCCAACTTTTGTTTAAATTATAAACTAATTTAGAATCAAAAACACATTCCAGTCTGACTCCACACGTTTTTTGATTTTTTTATTTCGGTTCCAAAATACTTTTCACGCTTTCTAATGATGCTGTCATTCTTCTGAGTTGAGACTTTTTTCTTTTGTTTATACATTACTTAAATGTCATTCATTTCCATTTGTTCTAGAACTTCTAGGATCAATCATCATGTTAGTTTATTTCCTTTTTCTTTTATATTCTTTATTGACATAAGACATGCAGATAGTTTCAGCTTGTCTTGTATTGTCTCCATATAGCGACACTACAATTGACGGACAAAATGGCAGTGATTGAATAATTGCCCCTGTTGATCATGCCTGGAGACCAGACTGCTATAACTGACATTGGTGACTGTGTCTTCGGCTAACAAAACTCCAAAATTTCCTTCATAGACCTGTCCCTCTACCTCTGTCTCCTATTTGGATACATTCCTTAAAACTTCCCTCTTTGGATTTTGGTCATCTTCCCTAATATTATCTTATGTTGCTCAGTGTTAAATTTTGTTGGTTAATGCTCCTGCAAAAAGCAGTAGGATGCTTTACAATATAAATGGTGATACATAGGTATATATTGTTTCTATAGCCATTGTGCATGCTCATTTTACACCTTCATTCCTTACCTTATTTCACTGTTTGGCCTCTCGAGCAAAGATACTAATGGAGGTGGGTTAGTTGGAGCTAAGATGCAGTTCAGCCATAATCAAGTTGAATGGCATAATAAAGTTGAAGGGCTGAATGGCCTCATGTTTTTAGTGTAATTGTGTTCCACCCTGATCATTGGTGATACTGATTGCAATCATCCATGCTCCTACACAATTCAGGTGAAGAGATATTGTGTATAAAATACTTCATTGGCTTGTTTCCTTACTTCTTTAATAGCTTGGTTTATTGCGTAATCACAAGAGCATTAAGACAAATATGAAAATGCAGCACTCTCTGTTCAATTTTACTTACCTCTCCACCTGACTGGCGTAGCTATTATCATAGGTGTCATAGCTTTGTTCATCATATTCTCCACCGTAGCCATCATCGTATCCCTGAAGAAATAATAAAACTGATCAAACAATATCCTTCAATATACTAGTTAGCTGCTTGATCACACCTAACTCTTTGCAAATGTTAAAGATGTAGTGAAGGAATTATAGACACAACAAGACTTAACAATCAGTTTAAAAAATTATATACCTTTTTATGGGATATGGATGTCACTGGTAAGACTAGTAATTTTTGCCCATCCCTAATTGCCCTAGAAGTGAATTACTTGCTGGGGTTATTTCAGAACACAATCTTAAGTGTTAACTGAGAGTCTGGAGTCACACGTATGTCAGACCAGATAAGGGATGGTACAATTCCTTCCCTGAAGAACCAGATGTGCCTTTATGACAATCAGTGACAGTTTCACTGAGGCTAGCTTTCAAATCCTGATTCAATTATTTGAATTTCAATTCTGCCAGTTGCTATGGTGGGATTTGAACCCATCTCTCAAATAGTCTGCGGCCTGTGGACAGGCCTGTTCAGTGACTGAATAATGATCGTACTGCCTCCATCGAACACAAAGCAGAACAACTAGTCTCCATAACAAAATTTTGATAATGACCAGAAAATCTGTTTTAGTACTTCTTTTGAGAGATAATTTAGCCAGAGCTCCCCTACACTAATTTGGGATAGTGGTATGGGATTTTTCACTTCATTTGAGAAGGTAAATGAGGCCTCAGCTTAACAAAAGACTGCACCCCTGACAATGCAGCACTATCTGTGTTACAGTGTTATGTCATAGGATCATGACAGTGTGGAAGCATGCCATTTGGCCCATCAAGTCCACACCGACCCTCCAAAGAGCATCGCACCCAGACCCACCCCATCCCTGCAACCCTGCACTTCCCATGTCTAATTCACCTAACCTACACATTCCTGGACAAAATAGGCAACTTAGCATGGCCAATCCACCTAACATCTACATCTTTGAATGTAGGAGGAAACTGGAGCACCCAGAGGAAACCCAAACAGACACGGGGAAAATGTGCAGACTCCACACAGACTGACACTCAAGGGTGGAATCGAGCCCTGGGTCCCTGGTGCTGTGAGGCAGCAGTGCTAACCACCGAGCCACTGTGCCACCTGTCATCCCAGGTGGGACTGGAACTAAAATCTGCTAGCAGGAGCCAGAACAATCTAAGTTGAGGTCATTATATCACACAAACATTGTTCAAATTCCCTTCTTGGGTCTTCTCTTGTCCTCTCTTCATTAGCTCAGGTTGACCATTACAGTCCTTCTTATGTTGCAGTTTTGATGGCCAAATTAAGATGAAAATATAACCATATGGGGAAAAAGTATGAATTAGAAATTTGCGTTGTTGACAACAAGGAAAATGATTCTCACTTCATCTGAAGTTTAATTATCGACATATGGTTACTTAAAGGTGCCTAAAATGATAGTTCTTCATAGTGATCATCTAAATTCCTTGTAAATTAAACTTCTCTCTCTGTGTAAGGCTCTCTGTGTGCCAGGTTTTCCCTTCTGTTGTTGCACTCATATTTTTCTTCTCGGCCAGTTGACGTTCCTCATGTAAGCATTATGTTTGACAGTCACTGGAATATTATAAAACTTATCTCATTTATTCCTGGTTGAAACCCTTCACAATAACACTGAAAACTTTATAGGTTTAAGTTGCTGTTGATAAGGATGTGTTTTACCAAGTCATACGTTGAATGCGGAGTTTCGCTATGGGGAGCATGTATCACAACTCAGAGTGTTCATTTCACAGTTAGCCAGGCAACATCCTCCATCTAACAGGGAAGATCATTTTCTCAAGATTTCCAAGTCTTGAGCTAAGAGCGTGAACTGCTTCTCTCTCTAATCCTTTAATATGCTCTTTAAAACCCATCTCTTCGACCAAGCTTTTTTCATCTGTCTAATGCCTCTATCTGGCTCAATAATTATACTTTGGTCACAGTTAAGTACCTATTTTTTCTGGTAATGTTCATATGAAGTAGCAGGAAAGAGTGTCTATAATTTCACAGCTATTTGCTGATTGGACATGAAAGAAATTTTAGAGAAGAACATGCTTGGATTTGGTTGGTGGCACTTAACACTTGTTGCCACATCAATGCACCTTTTTGTTCCTGTTCTTCCCTGGATGAATGGCAAGAATCAAAAGTTGCAGACACAGCCATTATAGCTCTAATACTGGCAATAGATGGAAAAGGTATGGAGTAACCATAGGGAACCAAGTTTAAACATAATGAAGCTATTGTTATGGTTATCAACAACGCAAATTTTTAATTCTTACAAATTCTACAACAAAAACAGAAACTGCTGGGAAAACTCACCAGGTCTGGCAGCATCTGTGGAGAGAAAGCCAAGTTAATGTTTCAAGTCCAGTTATTTAATTCTGAACCTGCGCCTGGAATATTAACTGTGCTTTTGCTCCACAGATGCTGCCAGAGCTGCTGAGTTTCCCCAGTAATTTCTGCTTTTGTTTCTGATTTCTAACATCTGCAGTTCTTTGTTTTTAGCTGTTTAATGATTCTACAACATTAATTCTCAGATCAGTAAATCCTGAATTGACTGCTGCATGTATTATCAAAGAAAATGACAACTCTAAATCAAAACAGAAGATCGCACCTTCCAATTGTTTTCCAAGAGCAATATCTTCAAATTAAAATGGATGTTCCTTCTAGGGTACTTTTTTAAAGGTTAATGATATTTGGGAGTTTGCTCTGAATTAAAGTTAAAAGATACATATTTATGATTCATTTCTCATTTATCTCAAATTCTCTGAAACCACAGTGAGTTGATGTAGAGATTTTAGAACAATACATTTTCAATTTTAAATCTTTATCCTCTTATAAAAGCACAAGGATTTTTGATTGCTGTTAGCATTGAAGTGTTGAAGATCCTTCATTGTGTTCATTACACAGTGAGCTCTGTTCTGTTCTGCTGCAGTGGAACATAACCCAAGATTATGATCGGGCTGATGTCACTGAAAATAGTATATTGGGATTAATTTGCTACTACAACTACACTTCATGTGACTTGTACCTTACAAGAGAAATGAGACAGAGGCACTGCATTCTCCATAGTTTCAGCCTTCTAATCTATTCACCCAGAAAGACAATGCCATTGTGATGTTGTTTTTATTATTTCAGAGGTCTAGCACAAAAACAGACCATTTGGCCCAAAGGGTCCATGCTGGTATTTACGCTCCACACATATCTCCCCTGGCCCCTCTGCAAATCACTGTTCCTTCAGATTGGAAAGTTACGCATGTCACTCCACAACGTAAGAAAAGCGAGAGAGGGATACCAGTGAACTACAGGCCAGTTAGCTGAGCATCTGATGTCAGCAAAGTACTGGAGTCTATAACTAAGGATAGAGTGATCTTACACTTTAAATAGTTTCAACTTATCAAGAGACCAAGTGCGAATTTGTAAAGAGTGGACTATATCCCTGACAATAATCGGACTGAATTTTCTGAAGAGCTGACTAAAGAAATTGACAGGGGAAAGTCATTGGATGTCATTTATATGGATTTCGAAAAGAATTTGGTAAAGTTCCTCATAAGAGTTGGTTAGCTAAAACTGAAAGTGAAGGCAAATTACTCAACTGGATAAGAAATGCACTGTTCTACATACAAAAAAATGGCATTAGGGATAAGGCCTCTGTTCCAGCATTCAATAAGATTATGGCTGATCCAATTACTCCAGATTCCCATCTACCCTCTCATAATCTTTCATACCCTCTTCACACTTGCTTATATGGATCTATCCTTGGGGAGGCGTTGTTGGCATTGAAGCAATGTCACTGGACTAGTAATCTAGAACCCCAGGCTAATGTTCTAAGAACATGGGTTTGAAACCCACCATGGAACATGGCAAATTTGACTTCAATAAAAAAAATTGGAATAAAAGTAAAAGTTGGCCTAATGGTGGCCATGAAAACATTGTCAATTGTTGTAAAATCCCATTTGGTTTACTAATATTCTACAGAAATAGAAATCTATCATCCTTACCTGGTCTGGCCTACATGTGACTCCAGAGCCACGGCAATGTGATTGAGTCTTTATTGTCGTCTGGGCAATTAGGGATTGGTAATAAAATGGCCACATGATGCCCACATCCCATGAATGAATAGAAAACTGGTTGACTCTGTTTTAAAAATATTCAAAGACTCTGTTTCCAGCAACTTTTGAGGAAGAGAGTTCCAAAGACTCTCAATCCTCTGAGAGGACAAATGTCTCCTTATCTTTATCTTAAATGGATCACACTTTATTTTTAAACAATGACCCTTAGTTAAAGGTTTCCCCACAACTGGAAATATCCTCTCCACATGAATCCTGTCAAGACCTCTCAGAATCTTAAATGTTTCAATCAAATTGTCTCTTACTCCAAACTCCAACTGAGACAAGCCCAGTGTTTCCAGCATTTTTTCACAAGACAACCTGCTCATTCCAGGTATTAGTCTAGTAAACGTCTTTCAAACTGCTTCCAACGCATTTATATCAATCCTTAAATAAGGATATCAAAACTGCACACAGTCTTCCAGATATAGTCTCACCAAGGACTTGTATAACTGGAGAAAAACCTCTCTAATTTCGTATTCACTACTTCTTGCAACTTTCTAAATTAGATTTTCTACTTATTTGCTGTACCTACATACTTTCCTTATGTGATTCATGTACTAGAACACCCAGATCTTTTTCAAAGCTTTGCCATATCTAAACATTTAGATAGCATAGTAACCTAGAGGCCCATTCTAATGCTCTGGAGACACAGATTCAAATTTAAATTTAAATAATGAGTAAAATCTAAAATTGAAAGCTGGTTTCAGTAATGATGACTATCACATTCTTTTTGATAATGTTCAGTGCTGTACATTTTACATCAAATTTGTACAATACTTTAGTCTCTAGTCACATTTAGCTGATCAGGATTCCAGATGGGCTAATTGCATTTCTGATTACTAAATATAAAATGAGTATTAGATGCCATTGTTATGCATTTCAATGTCATACTCTTTCTCACAATATACTTTTGT